GTGAAGTTTCTAGACCTCTGTTGTCGAGAGGGTAAGGAAAAAAGAGATAAAAGGAAAAAAGCAGAATGAAATCATAATGATATGAAATTTTAATGAGGTTGTGAATATTAAGACACATTGAGACATGCAGGTCTCGTAAGTGATTCATCTAGTAAATGCGTTGGTTTAAATGGTGAGCAGACTCGCAGGTCCATATACTTTGAACAAAACAATGAGAATTACAGGTCACAAACAGGGTACAGAATTTCATTCATGTTTTTGACAGAGCTTCTTATTCTTTCCTCTCTCTCTCTCTCTCTCTCTCTCTCTCTCTCTCTCTCTCTCTCTCCCTCCATTTCCTTCAGTAACATCTTTCTGCTGCCATTCCCTGTCTTGTTAAGTTTACATGCATTGTGGCCGTGCCAGGCCTTTTCACAATCGGCCAATAGTGATGTACCGAGCGGTTCGCCGGCGAACAGTTCCCGGCGAACATAGCATGTTCGCGTTCGCCACGGCGGGCGAACATATGCGCGGTTCGACACGCCCCCTATTCGTCATCATTGAGTAAACTTTGACCCTGTACCTCACAATCAGCAGACACATTCCAGCCAATTAGCAGCACACCCTCCCTAGCAGACCCTCCCACCTCCTGGAAGGCATCCATTTTAGATTCATTCTCAAGCTGCATGCTTAGTAAGAGGAGGGAAAGTGTAGCTGCTGTTCATAAGATAGGGAAAAGCATAGCTAGGTTAGGGTTAGGGTATGCTTTTTTTTAATTTATTTTTTCTATGTAATCTAATTGCACTTAGTTGTCTGCCACTGCTGCCAGCTTCTGTGTCAGGCTCATAGTGCATACTGTGCCCATTTCCCCAGTCAGTGCCACCACTTAGATCTGGTGACACAAAGCTTGGATTTAAAAAAACAAAACACTTTTTTCACTGTTATAGATTGAATAGCAGTTAGTTATCTTCAAGCTGGTGTCAGGCCTACAGCCTGTGCTCTGCACAACTGTGCCAGTGCACATTGCCACTCATATCTGGTCTCACAGTAGCTTGCACGCATAGTACCACTAATCCCAACAAAAATGACAGGCAGAGGCAGGCCACCCCGCAGGGGCCATCGTGGTCGTGGTGCTGTGATTCCCTTTGGCCCTAGAATAATGCCCAGTTTTCAGAGGCCACGTACCCTGAACTTGAAAAGTTCTGAGGACATAGTTGACTGGCTAACACAGGACACCCAATCTTCTACAGCCTCCGCTCAGAACCTTGACGCACCATCCTCCTCCAGCTTAGCTTCAGGCACCTCTCAAGATACCACTCACCCGCCTGCCGCCACCACCAAAACTAGCACCACAGCCGCTTCAGTTGGTATGTCAGAGGAGTTATTCACACATCCGTTTGAAGAAATGAGTGATGCGCAACCATTATTGCCAGAGGATGTAGATAACAGGGATATGTCTCAGGCAGGCAGCATTACACACATGGACGTACGGTGTGATGATGATGATGATGTTGTACCCGCTGCTGCTTCCTTTGCTGAGTTGTCAGATACAAGTGAAGCGGTTGATGATGACGATGCGTCCATGGATGTCACGTGTGTGCCCGCTCAGCAAGAAGAAGAACAGGGCGAAAGTTCAGATGGGGAGACAGGGAGGAGGAGGAGACGAGTTGGAAGCAGGGGGAGGTCGTCGCAAGGAGCTAGTGGCACAGTCAGACAGCATGCATCGACACCCGGGGTCAGCCCGACAGCACGCCAATCAACGCATGCTGTGTCCA